CAGGGCGTCTTCGACCTTGAACTGATCGATGGCACTGCGACCAATTCGAGCTATTTCATCCACACTCAGCTGCTCTACAATCTGAGACAAAATGTCTGCTGCTACGCATTTGATGTCTTCGTCCTTGCTTCTTATGAGGGCTATGAAGAGTTCTTTGTTTGTTTCTGTTTTATGCACAATATGCTTAATTTGGTTCTTTATGCACAAATGAATTGCATGAAGTGCGCCGTATTGGACGTGCCAACAAGCATCTCCAAGCAATTTGAAGAGTTGCTCTACGAGATTCTCCGCTGATATCTCGTGTTCTGCCAACTTACACAAATATTCTCCAACTGCTTCTCTCACTGGTGCTACTGCCTTGTTATCGACGTAGTCATTGAATTTGTCGTTCTTCAGAATCACAAAGCACCTTCCAATCATTTCACCTGCATCCATTTCCACCACAATTCCACTTCCACTTCCTATTTCTTTTTCTATCTTCAAATTGCCCAATCCAATGAATGCCCCGTGTCTCCTATGCCACTCTGCTGAGAGTGTCATCTCCTTCAAATTGGCGTAGAAGTCCCCTACACTCTCAATCTCCTTGTCTTCGACTGTACTTGTTTTGAATGCCTTGAATTTCTTCTGTTTCTCCTCGTCCTCCAAAATGCCCTTATCGACGTATTCCATGCTCAATTCCCTCTGAATTTCTGCTATTTTTGAAGGGGCCTTTCCAGTCTTCTCAACCTTGAAGTCCCGCGTACTCAAATAGATTTTGTCACTGTTTAAGTCTGTTTCATTGCTGTATTTACCCCTGTACCTCACAGATGCATCCATTCCGCCTAGAATTCTGGCTCCACATATTCTGTTTATTCTGCTCTTTGACATGAGTAACTCGTATACGTTACGTAGGATGTAGAGGACGTAGTCGTCGTATTCACCTAAGATCNTCTCCTCGTCCTCCAAAATGCCCTTATCGACGTATTCCATGCTCAATTCCCTCTGAATTTCTGCTATTTTTGAAGGGGCCTTTCCAGTCTTCTCAACCTTGAAGTCCCGCGTACTCAAATAGATTTTGTCACTGTTTAAGTCTGTTTCATTGCTGTATTTACCCCTGTACCTCACAGATGCATCCATTCCGCCTAGAATTCTGGCTCCACATATTCTGTTTATTCTGCTCTTTGACATGAGTAACTCGTATACGTTACGTAGGATGTAGAGGACGTAGTCGTCGTATTCACCTAAGATCGTAAGCAGGTGGCTTGTTGCATACTCTTTCGTCTCATCGCCATTGCTACTGTTCTTGATTGTGTTGAATATCTTCTCTAGGATGTTTTCAGCCTGTTTTGTCATGGGCTAAAAATGATAGTTGTAGTAATACGCATAAACTAGGTAATATTAAGCTTAACACCCCTGATTCGTTGATCCCATTTACTTACTGGTGTTGTTGTTGTTTGTGTTCGTCTCGGTCTTTGCTTCTGTCTTTGATCCATCACATTCCTTACACTCCTCACACTCATCACATTCCTCTTCCTTATCTGCCTTATCCTCTTCC